TTAAAGAAACACTAATAGTTAAATTCTTAAACATAAAAAAACTAACAATAACAAACTGTTGAAACCATTGAAACGTGGTTGCTTAAAAAAACGAGCGAGTTTAGTTTAGAGTTTATGTTAGGTTAAATAAAATGTGTTTCTTCTTTGCATTTTTTGTCTTTTTGGCCTACGGTCAACAGAAATTTGGTAAAAACTTAGGTTTTTCAATAAAATAGGTATGCAACCAGGATTACGTACACTTAGGTACGTACTTAGTACGTATTTTTCTGTACGTACTGGTACGTACTATTGTGTACGTACTTAAAATGTACAGTTTACGTCCTGTACGTACTGTACCAAAACTGTACGTTCTTAAGACGTACTGTGCTGTTTGGGGAAGCAGAAGCGGATGATTAAAACGCACCTATATAGTTTGCTTTAACCTTCTTGAACTGTCTAGACTTTTCCTTGACGTGAAATGACATTTCCAGATATTTCTGGACTTCTATCTTCTTCTGCTAGTACTTTTACTTATGACGACCGCAGCACACTGTAGGGCAATGAGTAACATTGCACTTCTTTTTGTACTCGTACTTTTCCTATAACATCCGCAGGCTACTGCAGGGTGTTGCGTAACAATACGATGATTATCACCTGTAAGGTGATAATTTATAAACAATGGGAAAAAGATAGTACCTTAATTAGGCTTAACACCAACCGAAATCAAAGGATGGATTCAACACTATTGGAATGCGCATCTTCGTTTTTAATGGTTAAAAACTATGTTGCCAAATTTAAGCGTGGTCGTACAAGCACAAATGTTGAACCCCGTAGTGGACGTCCAGAAACTGCTACTGTCCAGAATATGATTAAAAAGGCCTCCGTATTGTCTTCGATAATCCTCGAGTAAAAGTGCGCACATTGTAGGTATCTCAACTGATAGTGTGCACAGAAGTTTAGCAGAAGAAATGAAAAAATAGTCGCTCGTTGGATGCCACGATTGCTCACTGGGACCACCATTAATATCCCGAAACCAACGAATATTTCTAGCAGTGGACACACAAAGATTATCCGCCGGCAAAAGTTTTGTCAGCAGGAAAAGTTGTGACAACTGTATTTTGGTCGACTACTCCCAGCTAGCACAAAAATATCCCATCTACGTTAATAAGCTGCAATTTTAGGCTCTTTAAGCTCGCATGCAATGTACTGTAAATGTAACCCTATTATCCCTGCAACTACCGAATGTCCGCAACGGCAAGACTTTTATAGCACATCTCGTAGAAGTTATAAAGTGAAGTTCGGAAATCATCACACTAGCACTTTTACGGTACTTACCCCGAAAGTTGCTCTGAAACTTTCTATAGATGTTATAATGTGAATTCCTTCTACAGCATTATACAATGTGTCCACGGATGGACTTAACTATACTTGTGAAAATATTTATTTTAAATTAAAAAAGTAATTCTTCATAATTTCTTTTACTTGTTAAATAAATTCGATTCACATTATAAAATTATGAAAAATAACTTTTTTTAATTTAAAATAAATATTTTTACAAGTATAATTAAGTCCATCCGTGGACACACATTGTGTAATGTAATACAGAGAGGCTGAAATTGAGGCTATAGTAAAATCTCAATCGAGACATGAAAATTTTAAATAAAACAAAATATTTATATAAATTTATTATTAAAATGTTCTTGAAATACCAATATCACAAAAGTAGAGGTAGGTATAGACGTGTTCTTTTATTCAGTGCTGTATCCAGCGCTTGCAGCAAACCGTTCGTAAATTAAGTGATGGAAAGATGATTGTATGTGTCAATCATTCTTTTTTCCAGCAGTGAGTTCACCAATGAGCCAACACATCCATCGGCTTTAAAAGCCAATGGATATGTGATAGATGAATGGTGAGGATAGTTAATCAATTTGTTTGAACGTGTGAACACGATTATTTAAGTTAACCTAAAATATAAGAGTTTAAATATAAAACGACTGCAGAAAAGATAAATTACATCAATCACTGATGGAACAATTATTGAATAAAAGAACACACCTTATATCACAAACACACACAAGTACACATGTGGGATAGAAGAAGCTACCTATAAAGCACTGAACGATTGGACAAAATTAGATAAATAGTATAATAAGGTATCAATATTGCAAAGGTTTACTAAAACCTTAAACAGTGAACGATGATAAAGCTAGATTGGTAAATAATAATAATAAACAATTACAACAATGACTAGGTACATATTATTATATTAGATTACTAGAGGATAGCTAAGTTCCCTGATTTCTTACCTCTAGACGCAGAGATATATCATCTTTTTTAAGTCAAGCCTTTTAACTTTTTTTGTATAGATATTTATAAAATGCTATAATGTAACCTAAATATGACAATTTATTAGAAGAGCATAAATTATATTTTTATATAAAAAGACTTTACTTCTCAATACATTGAATAAAAAAGAAATTGACAACTTGTTTACCTATTATTAAAGGAAATTATATAGTAATTAAAAAATATGCCTTACTTTGTTGTTTTAAATAAAACAACAAATGTTAGTGTATTGAAATTTGTTTGAATTTTAAAAATTTTATGCTTGGTTTCCAAAGTAGATATAATATGTAGATTTTATAAAAAACAACTCGTGTTTTTTAGCAAGATATTCTATTATACTCGAGAGTATCATCTATGATTTCTCTCAACTTTTCTTCTGGGTTTGCCCTTGAACTGTTGGTTACATTTCCAGGTACATCTAGCCTGTTGAAGAGAATAAACTGGTTGAATTCTGATATATTTGACACCATGTACCTATAGATCACTTTTTATAAAATTTCAGATGTTTGTTATATATTCTTCTTTAGACAATTCTGTAGTATTTACTTTTGCTTCTAAAATTCCTAGAATTTCAAAGGAAACCTAAAATATAATATTTTTAAAATGTATTTTTAGTTCGATTAGGTATAACTACCTTTAATAAGTATTTGGTGTAAAATGTTACCGGACATTTGGTTAAATGTTTATCTTCTGGTTTACAACGATTGATCTGCAATTCTTTGTTTTTATAGTAGTTAAAACAATTTTGTATACTTAATGAATGAAATAATAAATTTACATCAGGCATTGTAATCTGAAACAAAGACAATGGTTTAGAAAATAGTTTTCTATTTTATAGAGGACCCTTACCAAATCTACTCGAATGTATAAATAATATATATAAAATAAATTCTGGAAGTCAAAAAATAAAAATGTCATTCACCGGGAATAAACCTTCAAAAAAGACAAGACAAATGACAAGAAAAACTGACAAGTGACAATTAAAACATAAACGTTCAGAAATCAGAATTGTAATGTTACTTTATTACTTTGTGTTAACATAACAGGTAGGTTAACTAGGTAAATAACAAATAGAAGTTTTGCGAGGTTTTGACTTCCCTCAACAACTTCTCATGAACGTTGCATTTACGTTGTATAGTAATGTTATTACGTTCCCTTAATGCAACATCGCCGAAAGGCTTGGCAACGTTATGTGCTAGCTGGGCTACTAAAAGTGGAAAACAAAAAATGACTAGTATTATTATGCTAATTTGTTTCAACAACTTACCGACAAAATCAAAGAGAAACGTCCTAATTTGGTAAAGAAGAAAGTGCTTTTCCATTAGGGAAACGAATCAACTCACAAGTCTGCGATTGTAATACCTAAAATTCATTACTGTCGTAGATGTCTTCCGGTAGTTTAATTTGTAAATGCACACATATTTTTTAATGTTCTCAATTTTTCTTTGTTTCCACTTTGGGAATGGGGGATATATTACTTAATTTCGTAGGGGGAATTAGGGACTATTTTTTCACATTTTCAAATATCGCATGCTTTAATTATCGGATCTAAATCAATTTTTGACATTTCTTTATCATATAACGTTTGTGGCGGGCGATTCGTACATTAAGACCGGCTAACAAAAGATAGATTCTTAGAATATATTCTAGCACGAGCTACGCTTGGCGTCCTTCAACAATGTTGCAAGGATGGCTTTGAGAAGAAATGAGAGAGCTACGGAAAGAGAAGAGACTGTTTGTACCGACAAGAATTGAAATCTGATGTTAGTGTCATAGATATTTGTTCCGGTGGTCTAATATGTAAAACAGCAGAGGAGCTATAGTTGGCAGATCGGTGAACTCATGTTTTCTTTTTGATACTTTAGTTGTCTTGTCATTTAGTGTTGTTAACCTATTAGGAACCATCTCAAATCAAAAGACATACCTGAGCACATTTCACAAATTTTGGAAGTAGTAGCGAATTGATTCGAATGTGAGAAGCAACAAATTACGGTCTTACAATTAAATTTTTTTTTGATATTTCTTTTGTCGATTTCGGGAGCTAATAATAACTGTCTTCCTCTCTATCCTTTCTATTTTCCCTCCATAGGCGGCGAAACCCTATTATTCGAGAACGAACTAGCTTCTACCGGTAAGTTTATTTAAGTATACATTTAGTTTGTGTACTTTTTTATACAACATTAGTTTTTGGATCTAAACTGATTTTTCATTCTTTCCCTAGTTCCATATTAGTTTGAAATTTACTTGATTTGATTTCAATGCCCCCTGGCTATATGAAGCTTTATGGATAGAGACAAAGAAAATTTGAAGAACATTTTAGAACTAATAATAGCGAGAATAACTTCTATCAAATCCATGAAATGAGATTCCAAATAGTGCAATCTGTAAAAGCATTCAAGATTCTTTTAAACCAGTTATAATTGGAACTTTTGTTAAATTCCTATTTGTGTTATACCAACAACATAACTATTTCTTATAATTTTGTATTTTTTTCAGTTATTAATTCTTCTTAATTGGAAATAATAAAATAAAACTAAATTTATTTTTATTAATTCATTTATAAATTCAAATAGAGAGCTCTAAAATCATACACATAAACACAGTTGATCTCAAAAAATATTTCTCAAATTTACAATCTACATATATTATAAATATACATTTTTTTTTATTTACAAAATCTATATGATTTTATGAAAATACATTTCACTAATAATATACAATTAAATTTAACAAGTTTCACTAGGTATCACAAAACATATATTAACATTTCTAAATATACAATAACAAATACTTAAAATCTTAAAACGATTCCAGTGCTCCACCCGTCAGTTTTGTAGCATACAAGCTGACAACCTAAAAACAAAACATAAATAAAGTTACTTCTGCAAAATTGGTGAAAATTAATAAATGCTTGCCAGCATTAAATAAATTAATTATAAATAAAGAAAATTAGTATCATGTACAAATAAATTGAGTCTTGGAATTGGATCGGCGGCGATGTAGGCGTTATAGTTTAAGATCCCGACTTCCTTTTTTCTAATTAAACATATATTTAATACAATATGATGTATAAATAAACACAGCGCCAATTCTAGCTCATAAAAGTCCTCTAGGTTATCAACTCGTCAAAATCCTAGTGGTTGACCGTAAGGGGCTTCTACAGATAGCTATTTTCTCAGATAGTCAAAGTCCTGCAGGTTATTAACTCATCAGAAACCTTCTAGTTGTCTGTGGGGGGGTATCAAGGGATAACCAGCCTCTCAGTTCAAAGTACTGCAGGTTAATAACGTCACCGAGAAGTGTCTAGATGCTCCATTTTTGGAAAGTGTTCTTTTAGTGGTCTTCTGCCACCCCGATGGTAAATGCCCGGCTCGAGCAAAAAATAATTGTAATTTGTATTTATTCAGATATATTGCGGTTTTTAAAAAATTCCGTACGGCCATCAATTCGGAAGGCTCGCGAACTGAATGCCGTACAAAACATGAGGATGGGTACTTCAACAATAAGACATTCCCTCTCTTTAGGACGCTCAAGAGGGTAAACTATAAATACTAGGATAGCACTCAAAAATATCTTCTAGATGATGACTGGGCAAGAATTTTTAATTTTAGACTAGTCGTTTGCGCAGCGTTCTCACACACTCCAAAAATTAAGATCTTGATGATTTTCTTATGAATCCCGTCATTAGTAAATTTATATGGGACCATCCCCTAGATAGCATACGACGTCTGAAAGACGTCTTTTTGTGTCTTGGTTTGGTCTCAATGTCCTAGGACGTTATTAAATCGTCTTATAAGACGTCTTGCAGAAGCCATAATCCAGACGTATTAATGTGAGAGCTCAAAGACGTTCTTAAGACGTCTTAAAGACATCTTGCCAAATCCATATATTAATATGAAAGCTCAAAGACGTCTTTAAGACGTCTTACAAACGTCTTTCAGTCGGACGGAAACTTGTTTACATTATTTAAATTTAACAAGAAGAATCAGTTTACCTAGGAATGACCTAGGCTGCTGTTGTACAGCTCCACGCTAGTTTTCCGGTAAATAGTGAACATAACCTCAAATAAGTTTTTCGCGAGTATAAATAGTTATAATTTATTTTATAAAATTGTGTAACCATAACACCGGGTAAGTGAGGCAGGTAGTACGCCACAAAACCTATGTCAGAGCCCTCTGGGGCTGACATCAAAACTTTTAAAACAATCTACTCAAAACGTTCAAAGAAAAAGCTGCGAAACCATTCAAATGTGCCGGTAGAACACTCTGTGAACATTCTCTCTAAAACAGTGAAAACCACAAAATTTAAAGCTCTGAGTAAGTTAAACACATTAACCTCCACTAACTTGGGAATCAGCAAAGAGCTAGAGGCAGAAACCTCCTCGAAAAAATTTTTTCCCAAAAAAGTTTGGAGAAAATACTTAAAGAAAGTAGCTGGCACAGGCGCAGACAACCAAACACCTACACATAGTGTAGAGGTCGAAGTCGCCGTCAAGGTCGAAATCCATCAAAAGCCAACCGCGGTAGAGAGAGAAAACGTTTGTAGAAACACAAACGAAAGTCAGGAGAAAATTAATAAAATCATTGAAATCCAGGACAAAGAGGATGAAACAGGTGAACAATACTACAGCTCCGTGGACAGCGAGGAAGGTTCAATCAAAGATGTGAGTATGGAGAAGGATACTGATGAATTGCAACAAAAAAGTGTGGAGAATACTGATGACCCAAACAGGGACATCGACAATGCCAACTCAAATGAAAACGACAATGAGGGCATACAACAGGACACACGACCGAGCACGAAGGAAACAGCACAGTCAATTTCTAATCGGGGTACGTGACGGAGATGAACTACCCTACGAAGTCATAAAAAGGATTGAATTACCAACTGGAGCATTAGCCAGAAACCTGGATTTTGGTCCAGGGACCAAAGCCGCCAATGCCCTTCGTAAAAACATGGAAGCACCCCCGACAACAAAAAATATCGAACCACCCCGAGAAAGTATGGAGAAAGCCCAAATGGCAAGTGGATCGAGTAGCACAAAATTTGGCCCTCTCCCCAGTTTCAACAAGGATGACAAAACAACTCAGGAACCCCAGAATTACCCAAACAACCCAACGGGGGAAAATATAATAATTCAAAGTGACCCAAAAATCACCATATCAATAAACCGATCAGATATACTGGAAATTCTCACTAATATGATACTGAGATACAACGCAGAAAATCAGACGGTAGAAGATGAACAAAATCTAGAGAAACTCAACAATCCCTATATTGAAATACGGATGTTGACAGATCACCCAACAACCCACTTCCTTTTCAAACTCCCAGGAAGTTCAGTACGAACTTCCAAAAACTAATAAAAGAAAAAACCAGGAAATCCTTAACAAAAACCAGCAACAGGTTTCAACCCCTAACGGACGACTCCGACACCGATTATTCGGAGTAGGGGGATGCTCTTGACAAAATAGTCAAAAGAAGAAAAAGGGAGGCAGCGACTAAAAGAAATAACACAAAAGCCACAGAAACAAAGGATGAAAACCCTGTCCAAAATACTCAGAATCCAACCACATCAAACACGGATTAAACAAATCCACAACAAAGGAAAAAATCCACAATGCCACCCATAGCTGTGGACGGAAAAACCAAAAATCAGAATGTACTTATCCAAGACCTACGTGCAACAGTAAAAGGTGACTTTAGCGTCAAACATACTTATAATTCTACAATACTCTTCGTAGATGGAAAAGAGGACCACGAGAGAGTACTAAAAAATATCAGGGAAGAGAAAATAGCGCACCATACATATACAAGCAGAGATGATAAATCACATGCATTTGTGATTAGAAGGCTTGCTGATGGGACCATATCCCAAAATATAGAGGAAGATTAAAGTAAGATCCATATATCAAATGACAACCAAAAGTAGACCTTTATTCCTAGTGGTGACAGACCCGTCATTGACACTGGATTATTTGAACGAAAATGTGCGTAGAGTCCTATACACAAGGATAGTATGGGAATTGAGAAAATCCGGCCGTCAAATAATCCAGTGCCATAATTGCCAACAGTGGGGGCATTTAACCTCGAACTGCGGGACCAGCGAGATGTGTAAAATGCGCGGGTGAACGTCATACCCGTACATGCCTTAAAACTAGATAAACCCCCGTAATATGCGCAAACTGCAATGTTGATCACCCAGCGAACTATTCTAAATGTAAATTTTACATTGGGAGGCTAGATAGATTCGAAGAACGAAGAATAAAGCAACAACCTAAAAGATACGTACAAGCACCACCACCGGCCACAAATTACTGGGAAAGGAGGCAATCGAGACAACCCCTGTCAAATAAGGACGATTTTCCAGCACTATAAAGCAGGAATAATAGAAATAACCCACCCCATGATAGTCAACAGAGCGGTGCACCTCAAACAGGAACCATGAACGATGTTTTAGATTTAAACGAAGAATTCACGGAACTAAATAGACTAATCAACTTAGGTGAGTTAGCAGGGGCGGTAAGAGATCTGAACAGTAAACTCAGACATTATAAAGACGGTAGAGAAATATTTGAAACTTAAAACAACTTTGTAGCACTTCTAGACAAAAACTACAGACTTAAGAATTAAATTCGCGGACTATAACAAAGACAAACTTTTTAAAAGAGGTCTTACTTAAGGCTTCACAATACCATTATAAGCCATTAAAAAGACGTCTTAAGACGTCCCGTTTTGTAAGATCAGACGTCTTCTAAGACATCTTTAAGAAGACTGTGCTATCTGGGCCCTTTTCTACAAAAAAATCTTAGAAATCGAATGTGTTAAAGAATTTATTCGGAAGAATTGAGAACCGCCTCCTTTCTTGAAGTCGGTTAAAAAATAGCCTGGACCGGATATACGGCGCCAACCCTGGTACTTTGTGTTTATTTATATATATTGTATAAAAAGTATGTTTAATTAAGAAAAAGAATAAGGGAATGTTGATTTAAAGCATGATCTTGTACTGTTAAATGTCCTATTTATTGGTCAATTGTAGATATTGTCACTGGCGGCCACTGCAGGTATATTTTTGACAGCTTTTATTTACCAGACGATGTCATTTCGGTTTAAACTAAGTTTTTCTGTTACATACAACCCATTTTACGTTTAGGTTCATAAATATAGAATAAATTCCACATAGTTAAACATTATATCTTGTTTCCTTTTTTTGTTATTATGGAGTAACTAATTAAAATACCAACCTTATAAATAAACATGTATTGTTCCTTGGTCTGTACCGCACTGGCTCTATCTCTCCTTATCCTATACACTATTTTAGGAATGTCCACTAATCTCGTTTGCTCGAATTCCCTGATCGCTATATCACAAGCTATCACGACTCCGGTTCTTCCCGTTCCCGGACTGCAATGCACTACCACTGGATTTATTTCATTTTTGGCGAGTCCATTCAGGTTACCGTTAGATGAATTCTAAAAACAAAAAAATTAAATTATTTGTGTACCTACTCCGAAGGGTAACACGATTAAATTTTTTTCACTCTTTCATGCATCCCTCTGCTCCCGACATGGTTCCCCAATCAGCCTATGTCTTCTCCTCGAATATAGGTACTATTTCTTCCCATTCAGTTTTTACCATCTGAGTAGGTTTCGAGTTCTACCAGTTTAAATCGCCCATCCAGAAAATAACTGGTATCTCACGACTGAACTGTGATCAGTGTTTAGAATATCTTTTACAGTCGGTCACTAACCCAGTAACAGTAACTGTTTTGTTCGGACTAGAAGGAACTTCTTGGGACCAGTTTCTATTACCGGACAAGTAGTTTTGGAAAGAAACCGTAGAAACTAGAGCACAAAATTTAACTTCTTCCAATCTACATTTTAACTAGATCCTTCTGAAGTCTATAAATTGTAAGAAAATCTTAAAGTACAGAAAACTTGGCATAAAAAAGCTCTGCTCTAGAATGGATTCAAAGTTAAGTGATTTGCATCTCTTCATAGTCCAATGAGTTACAGCTCTAAATTTATTGTACCCGTTTTTAATGTATTAAAGACTTAAGGTTAACAAATATCGTTTACTCAACATAATATTATAGCATATTAATAATTTCTAAACTAACCAATAATTTGATATTTCTAATATTATGAACGAACAGTTGAACCCACTATAGTTCCTTAAGTATACGCATGAGTAGCTAATTATTTATTTTTAATTTTAATACCATATTTAATGAACAGGCCTACCGGAAAGTAGAAACAGCTTGTTCATTTTGGTCTTAAAAGATTAGGTATTTAAATGTTAGGTCTTAGGAATCATTAAATAAAAAGTTAATATTTGTCGCTAAGGCTTTAGTGGACTGAATGCTGGCGTGAAAATTACTGTCGTCTACAAAGCTATAGATCAGCAGTGGGATTCTCATCTTTCAATACAGCATATGTCGAAAAGCCTATCTTCGTTCGACAGACTGCGATTCTTATGTAATGTCTCTCTCTATTCAACACGTAACGTGTCGAGTTAGCACATAAGATTCCCTGTGGTGGTTAGAAGTAGATAAGGTTAGAACTGTGGGGCATGTAGTCTCCCCTATCTCGACCTTTTCAGATCTTTTGCGGATATCCTTTGATGATCGATTAGATTAGTATGATCTTTTCTAGTAGACTCAATAAATAGAAAGTGCCCTATTAATAAGCCTACTAGTACTCAAATATTTTTCCCTTTATGGCTTAGTAGATACGAGGTTAGTCCGTTTTGACTACCCACCTTTGTTAGGGCTTCCAAGCAGTCCCACACAAGCTGCATGGAACTGAATCGGTGTGTATGACAATTTTCCATTTTTCTTAAGTCTAAATACCTTTTTACGCAGAGATATATTACTACTATTTCTGCCTGGAATATTGTGGCGTATTTATCTATCGTATATTATGTGTTTCGACCACTGATCTGTATTATTTTACTGGATAGGATATAGCCCCCTAAAAAACGTTCCGAAAAATTGGCCGATTTGGGCAAATAATATGGTGGACCGGATGTTATTTAACGTAACCTCTATTTCCATTTGTCATCACATTTGTCATTTAATTCTGTCAACAAGCTACGATGAGATGTTTTTATTGTGGAAAACAAAGTAAAAAGAGTATGAAATAAACAATAAACGTTCATTCCTGAAGACACAATATGCTTCACGTTTCCATTTTTATATTTTCTTTCATAAAAAATCAAATCATGGGTGAAATTTCTCGAAGGACATCGCCCGCAAAAGGAATAGAAGAAGAATAAGAAGAAAAACTAATCAAATTATAGGTTAGGTATGTCAAATTATCCCAAATTTCAGTTCTGTGAACACACCATAATTTGCCCAAATCGGCCAGCATTGTTGCACTTTCGGTCTCCTTGGTGGAACGATTTTTTAGTATGTTAAATATAGCCTATATCCTATCCAGTAAAATAATACAGATCAGTGGTTTCGACGTGTAACTGGATGGTTTTTTCTAATAATGGATGACACTGCTAGATGGTCTGCTGCCATGATCTATGGTGAATAAAGCTATGTTGCCTATCACAGGTAAGGTGTGAGTTATTTAAGGAGTTCAGGGTTGATGTATCGATGATCACTTTTTTTTTGTCTCATCAGGTCAATATTCAAAACCTTGAGGTACGATTCCCGTTCTAAAGTTACATTAATGGCCTAATATGTATCTATTGCCCCGATTTATTTTTGTAAAGTTTTGTTTTCAGTATTTTAAGAAATTAACAGGGGGCTTAAAGTTTTTCTGTCTCCATCAAAAAGCGACATATCCTTAATATATTTAGTAACTAATATAGTACCTGGCAGCTAACTGCGATCATTCAAACACTAACTCTAGTTATAACTCCTCTCAGTCGATGAAATAAATTGGATAAATTTATCTATAATGTTAAATAACTATTTAAAACAACTATTTACCTTATCTAACGTAGCTGACTTCATATAACTCCTGGCTTCAATAAGAAATGCTATTATTGAATTTTCTTCAGCTGGTACACCTTTCTCTGGCCAACCCATATACCAGAAATGAGTTACTTCTCTCCAACTGTTTGAAACCATATTCTACGAAAATACATAAAAATACGCATAAATATTAAAATCATCTAAAGTAATAGTCAAAAAACGTGCATTCCCGAATTTAGTTTTGGATCTACTTATACAGGTTAGAAAGAAAATAGATTTGTTATAGTTTTGAGTCAACATTTTATTGTGTAGTTGTAATAAACAATGAGTCAACTATAAAGGAATAGCGCAAGCGAAGATGTTCAATATAATTCAAAAAATGAATGGCTATTTGGCAAATGTCATTTTAATATGATACCTCTCGAAGATAGTATAGCACACATATATTGTACTAAAAATATTAGGACCCAACTTTGTATAGAAATACAGTTATCCAATTCATTATATTTCTCTACCTCTCTGAGATGAACCGAGATAGACCAACTGGTCATCGCAAAGGTGCCAATGAATTCAAAGAGTAGACAATATGAAAGACAATGTCTTTGGTATGTGCCATTACTTATTATTATTTACGATAAATGTTGATTAGGTTATTTTAAATATTTATTAATGATTAAGAAGATATTAAATGTCTAATGTGAATATTATCAAAACAATCCTATATTAATTTCATTTCAATTAGTGCGATTAATCTTTAAGTCGCCCCGGAACGCCACGGCAAATAATAATAATAATAGCCATCCCTTTCCCCGCACAAGCTAAGCTTTTGGGGTTAAAATTCACTCGTAAGGGGGTGAATTAGGGAGAGTATTATTATTATTAATTCGAAACGGAAGAAAAAAATAATAAAAATCGATCATTTTAAAGACTCACTGAAGAAAAACATACAATAATACACCTAATATGTTGGATGTGTACAATCGCGGCTCGTCGTAATTTAAAATAGGGGTTCAATTTTTCCAATAATTTTAGCAAAAGAATTGAAAAGAATCTAAAAATATCGAAAAGAAAAGAATCATGAAGAATCGTAAAGAATCGTAAAGAATCGTAAAGAATCGTAAAGAATCGTAAAGAATCGTAAAGAATCGTAAAGAATCGTAAAGAATCGTAAAGAATCGTAAAGAATCGTAAAGAATCGTAAAGAATCGTAAAGAATCGTAAAGAATCGTAAAGAATCGTAAAGAATCGTAAAGAATCGTAAAGAATCGTAAATAATCGTAAATAATCGTAAAGAATCGTAAAGAATCGTAAAGAATCGTAAAGAATCGTAAAGAATCGTAAAGAATCGTAAAGAATCGTAAAGAATCGTAAAGAATCGTAAAGAATCGTAAAGAATCGTAAAGAATCGTAAAGAATCGTAAAGAATCGTAAAGAATCGTAAAGAATCGTAAAGAATCGTAAATAATCGTAAAGAATCGTAAAGAATCGTAAAGAATCGTAAAGAATCGTAAAGAATCGTAAAGAATCGTAAAGAATCGTAAAGAATCGTAAAAAATCGTAAAAAATCGTAAAAAATCGTAAAAAATCGTAAAGAATCGTAAAGAATCGTAAAGAATCGTAAAGAATCGTAAAGAATCGTAAAGAATCGTAAAGAATCGTAAATAATCGTAAATAATCGTAAATAATCGTAAAGAATCGTAAAGAATCGTAAAGAATCGTAAAGAATCGTAAAGAATCGTAAAGAATCGTAAAAAATCGTAAAAAATCGTAAAGAATCGTAAAGAATCGTAAAGAATCGTAAATAATCGTAAATAATCGTAAATAATCGTAAATAATCGTAAAGAATCGTAAAGAATCGTAAAGAATCGTAAAGAATCGTAAAGAATCGTAAAGAATCGTAAAGAATCGTAAAGAATCGTAAAGAATCGTAAAGAATCGTAAAGAATCGTAAAGAATCGTAAAGAATCGTAAAGAATCGTAAAGAATCGTAAAGAATCGTAAAGAATCGTAAAGAATCGTAAAGAATCGTAAAGAATCGTAAAGAATCGTAAAGAATCGTAAAACTAGCCAAAATAGCTGAAAACCTACCAAAAAAGCAGAAATCTACCAAATGTGGCAACTTTGAATTAAAAACTCCTAGTCAGAGTAACCTTGACGAAGCACAACCACTATTCGTTGGACCAAGCGAAGTTAACTGTCGCGACGTAATCTACGTGCGATGCACAAAATGATGCTAAAAATAGCCTGGTTTTAAACAGGCACACTGCTGTTTCACGGATCTATTAACCTGGCTTTTTAACATTCATTCTCAGATACATCTCGCGTTCAATCAACATATTGAACCACCAGGCGCGATAAGCCTGAGCGCAGTGGGGTACCAAAAAAAAAGTAGAGATTAATTAAAAAGTACGAAAATAATGAATATATTAAAGTGAATTTATATGTGATTTTAAAATAATGTATGTATGAATTTTAAACCGCCCCTGGTGGTGTATACAACATTAAAAAAAGAGTAAAAATAAAAATAACCTAGATCTCTTTAAACATAAACAATTTTTATTATATGATCGCTGGAAAGACAAAGGGACATAAGTCGAAAAATACACAATTTGAATTAAGAACACCACAAATCTGTTATAGTGGATAACTATGAAGTGAGAAAGGAGCGTATCTTTCCTCCTTATAGTTAACATAATATGACAAATTAATATGCACTAATATGCATAACACAATGCACTTATACACCAAAAGTTTAATTGCATCTCCTGTAAAATAGCTAAATTAAAGTTACGCCTCTTTGTCTTTCCAGCGACGAAGTAAAATTTTTAAATGGTTTGTGTACTGTAACCCCTTTTGTTATCAAAATGATAAAAGAATATATTGTTTAAATATCGATTTAAATATAGGTATGGCGATAAAGAAAGGGTTTAAAATTTATAAATCAGGAATTATTGTTTGAATCAAGAATATTTCCAATAAAAATATAATCAGTGTTACCTTTAACTGAAGATTAGAAATGATGTATTTGTCTTTAACGTCCCTCTTTTTCAGGGTAACCTGGAAATCGCCGAATAATCTATTACAATCCAGGACTTCCGAAGGTGGGAGGTAATCAACGCATTTTTCCTGAAAAGGTAAGTTTAATTTATTTTTTAAGCATTTTAAAATATGTAAAAACATGTTTGTTTTGAAATTTTCTAAATAACATAATAAAAAACAATAATAAACAAATAAATCATAATATTCATGGCAATTAATTTAAGTTTGAAATACTTACTATGCCCTTTTCAAAAAAGTACGTCAACATCAGAATAACTTTTGTTTGTTGTTCCCATATCATCCTCCAAAAATCGTCAACTGTATTTGACATGGGACCTTGACAGGCTATGTAATACCCTTTTGTATTTTTCGGACCCTAAAAAATAATATATAAAATTACAAACTCATATATTATGTTTTTTCTTCAAGCGCATCAAAATATTCATATTACACTACTAATTAACGTGTGTAAAGCAATATCATAATCTTCATATTACATGAAGTTGCTAGTAACATAATTTGATACTAACATAATAATCCTCAGTTATTAAAAACAAGTATCTTTGACAGTTGTGACTGACATTACTTGCGTATTAAGAAATGGTACTTATAGAAATTAGGATTAATTTAGTTATGGTGGGTTTACACATGCATAGATTGACTTGACTTGAACAGGTTAGACGCTAAAGGCCGTATCCAGTAGCTGGCGCCTGTCTCACTGGCATATTAGTGCCACCGTGTGAACACTTTTTTGTGCCAGTTCAGCGCTGCCCGCCAGCACTGGAGAGAATGTGACTATTATTTTTTCCAGTAGCTTCCACCACTGTACCCCGTAACACCAGCGCCAGTGTTACAGACAACGTCTGAACACGTCGACGCCATTCGCTAACACACCTACGAAGGTTGAGCATTGAATTTATTGCTTTTTTTGTATTCCTTTGATAAATTGGCCCGAAAATTCAGTAAAGATTAAACTTTTAAGCTTGTTTAATTGTATAGAGAACAAGAAAGCTTATGGAATAGCTGGTACGACGCATACAGAAACAGAGAAACGATCAATCAGCTCTACAACTAATTCAGAAAGATATGGGTATTAAAGTCCTTGCGATTGAAGAAATAATAAATAAAAGTAATATTATTAGAAAAACATACTGTTTAGAAGTCGATAGTGTTGAAAAATCGACAAAAACTCACGACTAACTGGATTCGTGCAAATGACCTGGATGCAGCACTTTGCCAGCCAAGAATTGGCATGCCAGTGAGACTGGCGCCAGTTACTGGATTCGTGTAAATCAGCCTTTAAGTAAGTAGCAAAACGCCAAAGTCATTATTATATCGACGTCGTATAGGAAGGTGCTCCTAAATTGTTACAAAAGTCAATTATTTTGCTGTGGATAGCATGTCAACTGAACTTCGAAAAGCATCCAGAAATGTCGCAACGTTATTAGTAAAAAATAAATATATAACTATATGGAACAAAAGAAATGCCACAAACGATAAGATCGTGTGTTGGTAAAAAAGTGGATTAGCCGATGGGTAGAATTCAGAAGATTCTGAGAAGCTTCTTGCGGAAATAGCAGTAGAAAACCAAGAAGCTTACGTTTATTCTTGTTTTTATATGATGAGCTATGTAGGTCCCATAAACACAGATTATTTTCATATTACTCTAGGAATTTAATTGTTAACTCGGATGTCCACTTTTTTACCATTTAATGAAATAGATAATAATAACAGTTATTTAACGAACAAGTATATTAATAAGGGTAATTAACAATCGAGATAATTTAACGCGCGAGCAGAGTTCGTTACAGAACTTTTCCTTTGACTCTACTTTTCAAAAATAAAAATAACTTACTTTCAATTTTTGATTTTAAATTATACATAAGAGTTTTTGAATTTTAAGAAATTAAATAATGACATACAATGACAGATAGTATTAACACACCTTCTTTATTTCAAATGTATATGTATGTTTGGTTGCCTACACCATAGGCAACTGTCAATATATGAGCAATGTATGTTGGGTTTCATTTAATAAAATCGTTGATTAATAGTAAATCATTCATTAATAGGGGTCACTAATCAACGATTTTGAGTGCGTCAAAATACATCATAAATGGTCGGTCGACGGAAATAATAAATAACGATAGTTAATTAAATTAACAGAAAGGCCTTGCAAAGGATTGAGAATAAGATTGCTAGGCATCTTCTATTAAATTTAAAAGAATAGAAAAACAGAATTCCTGTTCTTCCAGGTAGAACCTTGTCGGCTCCATGACAAAACTCCTTAAGACAAAATGGCGCAGGACAAAATAGCACAGACAAAATACTGCAAGAAAAAATAGTACAAGGATAAAAAAGCGCAGGACAAAATAGCGCAAGGACAAATAACACAAAGCCAAAATAGCGCAAAGACAAATTAGCTCAAACGCACAAGATATTCTGTTTTTTAAACAAAGTAATTTATGGAAATAATCCGAAACAAATACTGTTCTGCTCCTATTCAGTAAATGTTTAGAATGTAGCTCTGTCTCTCTCACATTTTAGGATCAGATATATTTTAATGCGAGAAATTTATGCAGAGATTAATAGATGAGAGACAAGTTAGCGCCTGATATAAACAAAATGAGACAAATTAACGCCTGGTCAAATTATAGTGAATCAAAAAAAGAGCTAGATAAATTATTTTAATATTCTAATTAAAATTAAAAAACTCAACTAATTTACCTAGCCTGTGTGGCCTGTAGCCATCGTAAGTAGCTGTATATGACTCCAGGCCGCACAGTTTAGGTAAATTGGTTATGATTTTTTTTATAATTTTAATAAGAATCTGGAATATTTTCTCACGCGCTTTTTTGTCCTTGCGCTACTTTGTCTGTATGCGCTATTTTATCCTGCGATATTTTGTTATAAACTGTTTTGTCATAGAACTTATGTTGTCACAGGGTGTCAGATACACGACGACCTAAAAGATCTATTGTGGTCCCTTCGGTCGCTAAGCTTCCAAGTCTTATCTTTCAAAGGAAGTTTAGGATTTTTAATGGTTTCAAGATGGACAGATCGCATATCGTTCTTCTCACAGAATATGCACTATCTTTTTTTTATCCAGGTTTAGTGAGGTGTTCTTTGAGTCGACAATGCCTGGTAAGGATTAGCGATACTATGCGTAGCTTGTCCTTGCTCAGGCAGATACAGGATTTACAATTTTTCTCGTTGTAATCACCCAGAAGTAACTTAGCCTATCTTAGCTTATATATTTTAATATCTTTTAATTCCGGCAATGTACTATAAATTGTAATAACACTTTTGAAACGACGCTTTATATAAATTCATATTTTCCCAATAATATTAATGAGTCTCTCTTTGTAGGTTTCTTAGTAGCCACTCCAGTCACGGTTTGTACGTCGAGATTAGTGATACTTGTGTGAAATGTTGGAGATATGTTATATTTTATTAAGTCAATATTTGTGTATCGTATAACTGTGTTTCCTTTATTCTTACAGATGAACGTTAAGCCTTGATATTAATAGTAGAACCCTTGCATACTAGGGCTACGAATCTAAGTGTGAAATAATATAGTATTTATATTATTGAACCCCGACTTGTGACAGATCATAGAAATCGTAACATAATTACCTACAATTCTATTTGAAAGCACGTTATATATGCCATTTATTAAAATAATCGTGACAACAACAATTTTTTCTTAATAATCGGCGATATGAACTAACTTATCGACGTTAATGGCTCAAACGTCAGTTGATGACGTAGTTAAATTATTAGCAAGACCCTTACCCGATATTTTTTGAAATAAATGATAAGAACTACTACAATTCGCGTCATAACTAGAACAAAATTGCTAATGAAAGTAATTAAAATGTATAACCTACCGTCACGTAATTAGCGTTTATGTAATCACTGTTGGGATAACCTTCGATGGGTTGCAAAAATACTCTGGTCTCCGGTAACGGAATAACGTTGGCGTATCTGTTCTTCGTTTCGCATCCTTCTGGTAGTTCATACGTTTTGGCTATAATCTGTGGTATTTCTTCAAATTCTGCTTTGATGTCCTCTTTGTTTGTAGCGAACTTAGCGAGGGCCGGGAAATTCAAAGGATGGGTAACAGCAACCTTCAAAAAATAATATTATTGGAAAAAATATCAAGAGATAATCCAAAATATTTTTTTATATTAATTAAAATTAATTAGGTAAACATATGATAAACACAAAATTAATAGTACATAAAAAAAACATTATTAAGATGGTTGAGGAGGGTGGGTGGCTCAGTGGTAGAGTCTCTGCCTGCGGATCCAAGAGTCACAGGTTCGAATCCCACCGTTGGCCGGGATTTTTTCATTTAATTTAATTATTTAAAATTAATTCTGATGCCTTGATAGGATTCCCCACTCGACTATTCACTGTTGGGTTCTAATTAACATTGCTGTTCCTAAAGTGGGAAACAGTAACAAAGCCTACACAGATCGCGAGGCGAAATAACCAAAGTAGTTGAAGCCGATGACACAAAAAAAGATGGTTAAGGCTGGTGGAATTTTAACAAATTGGTTATGTCCATAGAGAGTAAAGAAAGAAGACAAGCACTGATCAATACCTACAAAACAGAAGCGCACCGTTATCAACACACCTTATTAATCAGATTGTTAAGGATATGTGATCGTGTGATCCAAGACACATCAACTGAAATGAAACAACTGACAACGTGTTGCAAGCAAACAGATCCAGCAAAAAAGACATAATAAGACCAAGTCTAGTAAAAAAAAACCAAGGAACTGTCTATCTATCGTACGTAGAAGGTGTCACTGACCGAATTGGCAAAATCCTAAATAAAAATAAAATCGGCAGTGTCTACACGCCAACAAAGAAAATAGGGGAATATCTTAAAACATCAAAAGACCGCAAAGACTCTCTCACATCAGCAGGAGTCTATATAATTCCATGCACTTGTGGAAAAGTATATATAAAACAAACAAAGTAAAGCATTGGTACACGACTAACAAAACACAAACGAAGTTATCACACATTATCCGACAGAGAGCACAAGATCCTTTTCGAAAACACCGACCTACTAGCAACATCAAGACATTACTCAACCAGATTGCACTTGGAAGCTTTAGAAATATACAAACACCAAAAGAACTTCAATGGAAAGAAAGAAAGAACAACATTACCTAGGATCTGACACACATCATTAAAAAGCGCGAAAATAAAATGTCCTAATACCAGTCACACAAAAATAAGAGTGCGCAGACAGGCATATAAAAACCACATTGAAAAATTACTATCGAATTCTGCAGATGGTATACACCTCCGTCTAAACAGTGTACAATAAAATTAAACTAACTAAAATATCTGAATATAAATTTCACATATAAAAATAAGCAACCAAAAACGGGTCCCAGGTACAATATGAAAATACAGCTAGTTATCTAGGAATAAATTTAGATGCAAAGTTTAGATGAAAAAGGCCCATCAAGCAGAAAAGAGCCAGATGTGAAATATCAACAAATTATCAATACACAACAAATTGCTCATCTACAAGCAAGTATTAAAAACAGTACAACTTCGGTGTTGTGCTAAACCAACTAATGTCTGTATTATCCAGAAATTTTAAAGTAAAGTACTCCCTGGTACATTCGGAATATACTTTTAGAGATATCAAGATAGAGACCCTGAGACAAATGTTGAGATAGTTCAGATCATCGACGAGTATGAAATTAAGAAAGAAAACTGAAGAGAACAAAACCTTCAGATCTTATGCTAGTTGAAAGTACAAGGTTTAAAAACCAGAACACGATGAAATAGTGTCAATTAGCACAAATAAAGAAGAATGTAAATCAAGAAAACACTGAAGTTATTTCGAAGATAAAGTTGCTCATAGTTCCATTCAGATCTGGGTATCTATTCTTGAATCTCGGGGAGTAGAAATTTTTAGGAAAAAAATGAGACAGAAATACAAATTTTGTGCGTTTTGGATAAAGAGTTTAAACTTGTTTTCAATTTCCTTGAATATAAGAATAGCTACCGGTGCAATAAAACTCATTAAAAAAATAACAAATATATTTATAATTCCAAAATTGTTGGCAGTTTTGCTTACAATGACGCATTTCCGATAGCTTATCTACCGAAAAAAAAAAAATGTATTAAATTAATTTGGGTATAATTTTTATAGTTTTTTTAACGATGTTAACTGCAATATTTTAGAAAAAGTCCTTTAAGTCCAATCGTATCTAAAAAATGTTCAATCAAAATTGGATATTCTATAAAGAATATAGCAGTTGACGTACCCTCAAAAACTAACTAAACAGTTGCAACAGGTAAGAAATTATTAATGGTTAAAAACTGAAGTTTAATATAAGATTTAAACTTAAGGTTAAGTAAATTTATATTTCAAAATCTTATCATAATAGGTGTCTGATATTATTTTTGGTTTTAAAGACCTAAATTAACAAAAAATAGTAAATATATATTTTTTAATAACCTTATTCTACGTAGCTACTTAGTCATTATAGGCAACCATTGTCAATGATGTACATCCACAACCTAGTATATATTTTGATAACATTTAATGCAACAAATTTTCGAAAAGTGTAATTGTATTTAAACATTTTTTTACACTTTACTGTAATCCCCAATGGTAATAGAAATACTTACAGGATCATCAAAAGCTGGATTCCCATATGACCTCTTAGATTGTCTTTCAGCTTTCCTTCTAGTGCTGTTAAATCCAGAAACATTGTCTACACTATAATCGTCTAAACCAACTGGCCTGCACCTCTGCTTGTAGTTGAACCTCCTCTGCCTTTTTCTCATTATATACTGAAAAAACGAAAAACATTTGCACATTGTAGCCTAAGTTATTATTTTTTTATAATTATAATTTTTTTTATAAAAAACGGTTGCTACAAGAATGGACACATTTTAACCACAGAGCTCGTTCATAACAACTGTCGCCCTTTTTGTAAACCTTAAAACTAATATTTATTCTATGAAGTGATAACTGATAATATTTACGTTAATACGTAGATAAGTGTTTTGCATAATTATAATAATTAAAATATGATACCAAGTGAGTCATTAACGTAGGACAACGAACCTTCGCGGTGCATCAATTTTAGTCAAGAATACTTAGTCCATTTTTGATAATCATGCTTTGAATTAAATTATTTTTCTCCACGGCCATTACTAAATGTAGTTCTTCCGAAAATATTTATAATAGAAAGAAAACTTTCTCGCTCTTGAGATTAAAAGAAAATACTGAAACACTTGCCTTTTATGAATTTTACACGCATTTCATTGTAACTCTCGTGAGAGAATATTCACTTTGTAATTGCTACTGTCTAATGGTTATGAATATCACGCCCTCATCGTAGACAGTCATGAATTTCATGATTGGCAATTCTACGGGACATATCATTCATTGTTCAGTTTAAATTTTCCTGAATAAAAATAAAGCGTAGTTTTTTTATTTGAACTTAAATTCAAAAATGGGCGAATATAATGATCCTGATATACGTTTTTTAACTTGATAACTTAAACATAAAAATCACGACACTAAAAAAATGAAACGGACATGAACTAAGACGGTAAAGTAGCTGATAGTATTATCACATGAAATTTAGATCATTGAATCTAAATGTAAAATGATAAAGAATAGAAAATTCTAATTAAAAAAACTCAAATAATTTACCTAACCTATGCGACCTGAAGCCATCCCAGGTTGCTTCGCAGAAAAATTATACATAAAATGAAAAAATAAAAAACTTAACTAACATACCTAACCTGTGCGGCCTGGAGCCAACACGAGTTACTTCGCAAAGAACAACTAATTTACTTATTTCGTAATATCGTCGGTCGAGAAGAAAAATATGTTCATTTAAACTGTCCTATTGTAACAGCCATCGTCATCTTCACTTAAAAATTCTATGCCAGACACATCATTTTCTAAATAAATTAATTCTTCCTTAGACAAGCCTTTCTCTTCATTTTTTGTGTATGTATAAAGAATCGGTGAAAACGTTTCATATCGTTTTTAGAAAATTTTGTGAGATTAAGAAAACAGTTCGCACATCACATCAAAAATCGATAAGTTTGACTAACATTACATAGATGGCGGCACAAGTATTTTACTTTTGTTTAAGTCCATACAGAAGGGCGTACAATAGGACTACTGACCTGAAATTAATTTCTAGTTGTATTTATCTCAATGTAAAATTACAGTACACTACAGTGTACATGGGGACTGAAAGGGTTAAAGTAAAAAAAAAAAACGACACCCTGTAAAGTACACCCCAGATGCTTCGACTATGCTCAAAATTTAATCAGCTCACCGCAGAATTGATTAAAGCTTAAGTTTAAAATGTGTGTGTGTGTGTGTGTGTGTGTGTGTGTGTGTGTGTGCGTGTGCGTGTGCGTGTGCGTGTGCGGGTGCGTGTGCGGGTGCGCGTGTCTGTGTGTGTTTGTGTGTGTGTGTTTGTGTCTGTGTGTGTGTTTGTGTGTGTGTGCGTGTGCGTGTGCGGGTGCGTGTGTGCGTGTGTGCGTGTGTGCGTGTGTGCGTGTGTGCGTGTGTGCGTGCGTGCGTGCGTGCGTATGTGTGTGTGTGTGTGTGTGTGTGTGTGTGTGCGTATGTGTGTGTGCGTGTGTGTGTGTGCGTATGTGTGTGTGTGTGCGTATGTGTGTGTGTGTGTGCGTGTGTGTGTGTGTGCGTATGTGTGTGTGTGTGTGTGTGTGTGTGCGTATGTGTGTGTGTGTGTGTGTGTGTGTGTGTGTGTGTGTGTGTGTGTGTGTGTGTGTGTGTGTGTGTGTGTGTGTGTGTGTGTGTGTGTGTGTGTGTGTGTGTGTGTGTGTGTGTGTGTGTGTGTGTGTGTGTGTGTGTGTGTGTGTGTGTGTGTGTGTGTGTGTGTGTGTGTGTGTGTGTGTGTGTGTGTGTGTGTGTGTGTGTGTGTGTGTGTGTGTGTGTGTGTGTGTGTGTGTGTGTGTGTGTGTGTGTGTGTGTGTGTGTGTGTGTGTGTGTGTGTGTGTGTGTGTGTGTGTGTGTGTGTGTGTGTGTGTGTGTGTGTGTGTGTGTGTGTGTGTGTGTGTGTGTGTGTGTGTGTGTGTGTGTGTGTGTGTGTGTGTGTGTGTGTGTGTGTGTGTGTGTGTGTGTGTGTGTGTGTGTGTGTGTGTGTGTGTGTGTGTGTGTGTGTGTGTGTGTGTGTGTGTGTGTGTGTGTGTGTGTGTGTGTGTGTGTGTGTGTGTGTGTGTGTGTGTGTGTGTGTGTGTGTGTGTGTGTGTGTGTGTGTGTGTGTGTGTGTGTGTGTGTGTGTGTGTGTGTGTGTGTGTGTGTGTGTGTGTGTGTGTGTGTGTGTGTGTGTGTGTGTGTGTGTGTGTGTGTGTGTGTGTGTGTGTGTGTGTGTGTGTGTGTGTGTGTGTGTGTGTGTGTGTGTGTGTGTGTGTGTGTGTGTGTGTGTGTGTGTGTGTGTGTGTGTGTGTGTGTGTGTGTGTGTGTGTGTGTGTGTGTGTGTGTGTGTGTGTGTGTGTGTGTGTGTGTGTGTGTGTGTGTGTGTGTGTGTGTGTGTGTGTGTGTGTGTGTGTGTGTGTGTGTGTGTGTGTGTGTGTGTGTGTGTGTGTGTGTGTGTGTGTGTGTGTGTGTGTGCGTATGTTTTACCGTACTTGTGGGATTTTCGCCTGAATAAAACCAGGACTGTGGGGACGCCTGAATAAAACCAGGACTGTGGGGACAGTAAAAGTTGTGGGGACATTTAATGTTGTGGGGACATACACACTTGTCCCCACAACTTTTTTTGGCTTTATCTTCGTTGTTTGTTTTCTTTTAATGATCATTGCTACATAAAAAAATCGCAAAAAAATTTGTTCGTGGCACTTTTAATTTTAACTAATCTAGAGTTATTACTTTTACCAAAATTGTTAAATAAGTTACTGTCCCCACAACTAGGTAAAATATCAGGTGTGTATATTTTTCGACTTCGGTATTGAAGTGGGGACTAGTTGTTGTACTAGAAAGTGGCGCCCCCTACAAAAAATAAATATATTTCAATAAATATTGGTTTCATAAATTTGTGTGTAAGCGAATCCCAATACGCATACAGTTATGGGGACACAATAACTAATGTAGTATTCAGTACCATTTGGGGCAGGTGACGTATGCGAATGATATTTTTTATAATTTTCTCTTGGTGCGGTAGCATTTTCTGATATTGTATTAAGTATTTTTTATTAGATCAGTTAATACATACAGAGACACCGGGTTGCTCTAATATAAAAAATAAGAACCAAGATATATAAGGTGTCCAGCGACGAGAGGCACTCTTAAAAACTAATGGACTGATTTTCTTAAAAATTAGTAAGAGTAGTAAACATGTAAAATATTTTGATAGTTCTGTCATTTTCGCTTTTACCGAAAGTAGGTGTCAACTTTTTTATTTTGAGTGGGACACGCCTTTCTTTTATAACGGATTCCTATAGAACATAAACACTTTGTATAATAAAGCATATCGTTAAAATTGGTAATTTATAAAATATAAATTATTTTCGAAAATAAAATATATAATAAAATAATATTTATTTTTGGCTAAAATTAATTAAAATTTGAAAAAGTTTTTTAATTGAATTATGATGAAAAACTATGAAGGTATTAATTAATAATTACATGATATAACAAGATCTTTTAATATACGGACTGAGAGAAAATGCTTGAATTTTCATTTATAGTCAAATCGAAATCGCCTCGGACTAATAAATATGTCAGATCAAGAAATTTTAGGTGTGGGTGCCTATATTATTATTTAAGGGGTACATAAAATCATCATTTAAAAATATATTTTTTTGAATATGTATTGTAACGGCTGGAACCGTTATTCGTTATTTCAACACAATCATCTCTACTCAAATGTCATTTATGCCTTGTGTCAAAATTTCGTATTTCATTTGATTTGAATTTGTCAACGAAACAAGTTGATTTGAATTTTAATATATCTTGGTCATCCGATTTACTAAATAATTTTTATCTATCATAAATTCCGTCTGATTTTATAAGGTAAGTTTTAATACTGATATATTGTTGAAAATATATATTTTGTACAAGAATTTCTTAAATAAAATGTCAAATTTTGAACGTAACCTCAACAATGGATAACACGTTTTATATAAATTTATATATTTTTTTTTGGAATAAGATATTATGCTTTACTATGTTTAAATGTATCAAATAAGATTTTTCCTTTTCATATTAATTTTAGTCCATGTGAAATTATTCATTTAATAGTTTTAAATTGTTCATTTAATAATTAAAGTATTTTATCTAAATCCTGTTTAAATTTCCTATTTCCTGTTATAACATTCGCCTTTCTTTTTAGCATGGCTCTATCTAGACGGTTTATTTCGTTTTATATCTAGACAGTTTATGTGGATTTATATCTAGACGTTTTGAATTCCTATCAAGAAGTTTTATGGTTTTTATACCTAGAAGTTTGGTACAATCTGAAGACCGTGGTTTGGTTCATCTATAGAAGATTTACACGTTCAAGTTTAAGTTAGAATATCAAATTTCACAATATCATTCAAGTTCCAGAATTAAGAATAAGGATACCGAATCCCTTTGAAGTTGCCTGAAGAATACCATGCAAATAAACATTCCTTATATTACTTCGTTTTAAGAACAGATAAGTGCTTTTAAATAAATCATCTTGAATTTGAATTTAGTAAAACTATGTGAATTAGAATTTGCTACTACCTTATCTAAAAGTTGTTTTAAATATAATTTGTTATTGGTTAGTGATTTTCTATATTTTTATCACTAATCTAAAGTCAAGTATACTTGGTAAGTTTTAAATATAGTGGTGCCCAACTTCTTTTTCAAAGTTATTCGAGTTATTTAATAACCTAACCCACGCCCAAAATCAATTGAGCTTAAACACATTATAACAAATAGATAAAATATCAAGTATCACGTTACAGTATTTATTGAGTATTATTTCGGTAGGTAGGTAGGTATTTTACAAAATGTGGGACTCACCTAAACACCTAAAACAAGCAACCCGACAGTTAAATTACAAATATTTAAGTTTACAAGTGATCTAAATTAAAAATTTAAAAAAACCGACTTCAAAAACGTGCAGATGCCGTCAGCACATCTTATCCAAATTTATATGTGGCCATTCCTGAGGTACCCCATTACTAACAAAAAAGAATCATATAAATAGGACAAGGTCGTAAAGCATTATGGCTAAACATACATGAAAAATTAAGAATTTGAGGAATTTCTCATGGACCCAGTTATCAGATTTTGACCAAATTTATATGGGACCACCCCTGAAGTACCCCCTTTCTAACAAAAAAAGAATCATTGAAATCGGACACCGTGTTAAAGAATTATCGCTGAACATACATAAAAAATGAAAAGTTTGAGGATTTTCTCATGGACCCAATTATTAGATTTTGACCAAATGTATATGGGACCACCCCTGAAGTACCCTCTTTCTAACGAAAAAAGAATCATTGAAATCGGACACCGTATTAAAGAATTATTGCTAAACATACATAAAAAATGAAGAGTTTATTTTAATTTATTTTAATTTATTTTAATTTATTTTAATTTATTTTAATTTATTTTAATTTATTTTAATTTATTTTAATTTATTTTAATTTATTTTAATTTATTTTAATTTATTTTAATTTATTTTAATTTATTTTAATTTATTTTAATTTATTTTAATTTATTTTAATTTATTTTAATTTATTTTAATTTATTTTAATTTATTTTAATTTATTTTAATTTATTTTAATTTATTTTAATTTATTTTAATTTATTTTAATTTATTTTAATTTATTTTAATTTATTTTAATTTATTTTAATTTATTTTAATTTATTTTAATTTATTTTAATTTATTTTAATTTATTTTAATTTATTTTAATTTATTTTAATTTATTTTAATTTATTTTAATTTATTTTAATTTATTTTAATTTATTTTAATTTATTTTAATTTATTTTAATTTATTTTAATTTATTTTAATTTATTTTAATTTATTTTAATTTATTTTAATTTATTTTAATTTATTTTAATTTATTTTAATTTATTTTAATTTATTTTAATTTATTTTAATTTATTTTAATTTATTTTAATTTATTTTAATTTATTTTAATTTATTTTAATTTATTTTAATTTATTTTAATTTATTTTAATTTATTTTAATTTATTTTAATTTATTTTAATTTATTTTAATTTATTTTAATTTATTTTAATTTATTTTAATTTATTTTAATTTATTTTAATTTATTTTAATTTATTTTAATTTATTTTAATTTATTTTAATTTATTTTAATTTATTTTAATTTATTTTAATTTATTTTAATTTATTTTAATTTATTTTAATTTATTTTAATTTATTTTAATTTATTTTAATTTATTTTAATTTATTTTAATTTATTTTAATTAATAATAATTTATTTTAATTTGTACTCATCTCTCTGTATCTGTAAGGATGGGGAGGTTGGGTTGCTTCACTGCTACTTACGCCTCAGTAGACCCATTATGCATCCTCCCGGGATAAATAGGACCTGCCTCTCAACTAGTTAAAAGCCTGCTGGTTGACAAATCGCCGAGTCCTACAGGCTAATAACGTCACCAACGTCACTAGATGCCCCTTTTCTAAAAGTGGTCATTTGGTGGGCTTTTACAACCCCAAAGGTGAATGTCTGGATAGAGCTATTCTGTCCTCCCGCTCCACAGGGCGACCATGTAACTTATATTTTTATGCCAGAGCGAGTGTCAATTCAAAACTTTTAAACACATATCTCAATTGAAATGTTTAAAGATTTGTTAGAAATTATTATATACCACTATATAACTTTAACCAATCCTTTTTTTTATATTATCTTCTTGTTTAAATTACACTAAAATTTGATTTTCCATTTCTTATGAGTTCATGTGTATCTTTTTATATTATGCATAAGTTCTGAGTACAGGAAAATAAACATAAGTAGACTCATATATTTATGGGAACACTCATACACAAAACAATATCTACATTACTTGTGGGTTCACGTATACCCACATTCCAACGTTACAATAATTAAAAGGACACCATTACACATATTTGACGTCTAAATACTTGTAGGGTCTGACCCCACAACTTTTTCATGGTGTGTAAGGTGTTTATTTGGAGTGTATAGATATTTTAAAGATAGCGTTAGAATCAGCGCGAGGAGATCTATATTGCTATGTGCGCAGTTTCAATGTCCCCACAGTACGGTATTATTCCCATGGGCCCACATGTATGGTAAAACGTGTATAGGTGTGTGTGTGTGTGTGTGTGTGTGTGTGTGTGTGTGTGTGTGTGTGTGTGTGTGTGTGTGTGTGTGTGTGTGTGTGTGTGTGTGTGTGTGTGTGTGTGTGTGTGTGTGTGTGTGTGTGTGTGTGTGTGTGTGTGTGTGTGTGTGTGTGTGTGTGTGTGTGTGTGTGTGTGTGTGTGTGTGTGTGTGTGTGTGTGTGTGTGTGTGTGTGTGTGTGTGTGTGTGTGTGTGTGTGTGTGTGTGTGTGTGTGTGTGTGTGTGTGTGTGTGTGTGTGTGTGTGTGTGTGTGTGTGTGTGTGTGTGTGTGTGTGTGTGTGTGTGTGTGTGTGTGTGTGTGTGTGTGTGTGTGTGTGTGTGTGTGTGTGTGTGTGTGTGTGTGTGTGTGTGTGTGTGTGTGTGTGTGTGTGTGTGTGTGTGTGTGTGTGTGTGTGTGTGTGTGTGTGTGTGTGTGTGTGTGTGTGTGTGTGTGTGTGTGTGTGTGTGTGTGTGTGTGTGTGTGTGTGTGTGTGTGTGTGTGTGTGTGTGTGTGTGTGTGTGTGTGTGTGTGTGTGTGTGTGTGTGTGTGTGTGTGTGTGTGTGTGTGTGTGTGTGTGTGTGTGTGTGTGTGTGTGTGTGTGTGTGTGTGTGTGTGTGTGTGTGTGTGTGTGTGTGTGTGTGTGTGTGTGTGTGTGTGTGTGTGTGTGTGTGTGTGTGTGTGTGTGTGTGTGTGTGTGTGTGTGTGTGTGTGTGTGTGTGTGTGTGTGTGTGTGTGTGTGTGTGTGTGTGTGTGTGTGTGTGTGTGTGTGTGTGTGTGTGTGTGTGTGTGTGTGTGTGTGTGTGTGTGTGTGTGTGTGTGTGTGTGTGTGTGTGTGTGTGTGTGTGTGTGTGTGTGTGTGTGTGTGTGTGTGTGTGTGTGTGTGTGTGTGTGTGTGTGTGTGTGTGTGTGTGTGTGTGTGTGTGTGTGTGTGTGTGTGTGTGTGTGTGATTAAATTTAGGTTTCCCTTGGATACGGATACTAAGTCCATTCGCCAGAAGTTTAAAATTTAGTTCTTTTTTCTCTCTCCCCATTTTTGAGTTATTTTAAAAATTCTAAACTTGCACTTTTCCTCAAATATCGTCCATTTTAGGGAAATCATGTATATAGGACCAAAAATATAGAAAATGATATCACAAACAACTTTTATCATGATTCCTATACTTTCCCGGTCTGTATACAGAAAGGAAAGTAAAAAATGGCCGTGACCGTATTTCCTTAGGCAACCTATTTGCCGTATATTAAAACATATTTTATTTATTAAAAAAAAAAAAACTTTCATCTGTTACACAGACGGGTGAAGGTTGACCTTACTTCGGTACCTGTACAATAAATAAAAGTTTCTAATAAACATACTATATTTTGCCTTGTTTTCAGATAGGTATAATGAAAACTATCGCTCATTACTTGTCCATAAATGCTTTTCCCGTGCACAGGAAAAGCGTATTTTAATGAAATATACCATTCTAATAGAACATTTTTTTTTTCGAACTGCATTGAGGTACCTATATCTTAAGTCAACATACCCAGTATCTTTTCTATTCATACTTTAGCTAAGGTGCTTGTGTACATACGCATTTATTATTCATGAATATCAACGCAAAAAATAAGAATTTACATAAAACTTACCAAAAGTCCTGCCAATAGAATCAAGCAAACGGCACCTACACTACTTATAATTATAGCAGCTATTTTTCCTTTATTTTCCTCGGAACCGCCTAGATTTCCAGCATCTGTGCCTGTAGATGATTCGGAAGAGCTCTCTGTAGACGTAGAAATTGAAGCGTCTTCACTAACACTGGAACCATTCCTAAATATGGGGATAACTGGAGTAGCTTTTATTTCTGGATAACTCAAAATTGTGCTTCCTGAATCTGTTACAGAAGTTGTAAAGTTTTCTTTCATTGTTAATGTTGATAAATTTGATTTTTCAGTTGTTTCTACAGTCGTAGTTTCTAACTTTGGAATATGTGTTGTGGTTTCAAATATTTTTGATACAACATGTTTAGTTGTTGTTACAATTTCAGTTTTAGTTACTGCATCTGTCGTTGTTTCATTATCTGTTCCTATATCAATTACGGTAATGTCTCTTGTAGTGGTACTATCGCCTATTGGATATTTTTTCATAATTATCTCTGTTGTTACTTCTGTTGTTTCAGGTACATCTGAAGTTGTATCTGTTATTATTTTTGTTGTTTCGGGGGTAACTGTATCCGTTGATTGAAATGAGAAAGCTTTCGAAATTCGGCTTACACTTTCTGTTGTAATCTGTTGTGTCGTATACTCGTCTGTACTAGTTGTATCTGGTATAGTTGTTTGTTCTATTAAATCTTGTATAGTTGTTAAGACTGTGGTTGATTCTGATGAGGAATTGTTAGTAGTTTCGGTTGTTTCTGTGGTAGATTCTATTGTGGGAATGTGAGTAGTTTTGGTTGCTTCTGTGGTAGATTCTATTGAGGGAATGTGAGTTGTTTTGGTTGCTTCTGTAGTAGAGACAGTAAATATTTGATCTGTAGTTGTTTGATTATCGTCTTGTCCAATAATTTGTTCTGCAGTAGTCAGTTCTGTTTTGATTGTTGTTTCTATATTTGTAACAGGTTCGTTAGTTTCTTGGTAAGTTGCTTGTTCTTCTTTAACTCTAACAAACGTTGTCTGTTCAAATAGTTCTGTGGTTGATGAATTGTCGGAACTCGCGGTGGTGTCAGTAAAACCTGCATAGTTTATAGTCGTAACTATCTGTTCTGTGGTTTTATCTAATGGAATTCCGGTTCTGCCCTTTGTTATATGTTCAGTTGTAAATGGTACTGTTTCTAAAGGTATAATTTTGTTTTCTTCGACGGTTTGTTCTAATGGTATTACATCATTTTCTTCTTTCAGTCTTTTGGTGGTAGAATACTCCGTGGTTAAGAGATTTATAGCTTTGATTGTTTCAGATTCAATTTTGTTGCTTAAAATATGGTTATTTCGACTTATAGGCGATTTTGTTAAATGTACAGATTTTCTTGTCGTCGCAACAAAACCTCTTGGTGATGTTGTTTCTAGTTTCAGCTTAAGAGAAGTCGTTTCTATCTTTTCCGAATCATCATCATCAGAAGTTGTAAATTTTAAAATTGAATCATAGTTGATATTGTGTGTTGTCTCAACTTTTAATTCGTTATATTCAGATCCATCGCTAATAGTGTTGTTTTTAGAAATTTTGGTTTTCTCTCTGTAAGCTAAAGTTGAATTTGGTTTGTTTTTAGCTTCGTCGAATAATTCGTCTATTCGAATGCGATGATCATGATCAATTTCATCTTCTGTACGATGATCATCTGAATGTTCTTCGTATTCCTGTTCTAATTTTTGTTTCGCTTCTTCGAATTTGGCATCGAAAAAGGATTTGGGTGTGGTAAGTGGATATATTGGGTAATCGATGAAATTTTTAGTTGAAGGTTTACGAATGGTGTTCTCCAAACGTTTTTCATTATCGGAAGAATAATCATTGTTTTGAAAATCGTGCGTATCGAATTTTTCTATGTCTATGGATCTCGAATTACTTTGTCTCCCCCTTTTATCGTCCTCTTTGCTATCGCTACTATCATATTTATTTATTTTCTCTTCGCTCGACGTTTGGTTTCTTTGAGTATCTTTTTCCGAATCGTATTCGGAATATTTAACGCTATCTGCGAAATCTTGAGTATCTTTGTTAACTAAATTAATTCGGGCATCAGTCTTTGGTATTTTTTCAATTGAATTTATTGTGCTATCTACTTTTTCTAACGAAACATTTTGGGAATGTGTTGTATTCTCTTCTAAGCCGCATATTGAACCAAACAGAATTAACCCTGAAACAGAAAAAATCAACGTAAATAACATTACAGTTAATTCAAAATTAAAATTACATGTTTTATCAACGCTGCAATGGTTTCAATTATCAAGATTTACCGTAATCTCTGAAGCAAATTTATCTTGGGTTAGGATGACCCAGTAAATCTACAAGTGATAAAAATATATTTATGTTTCATCATAAATAATAACATACAAAAATATAATAGGTTAGAAACGCACGATGTGGTGACAATTAATTTACAGTTGTACGTACCAGAGTGGTACCAGAGCATGCTTGGGTTAGGCCAAGATTTAATAGAGTGGATGCATGACTCAACTTTGCCGGTTTACTCGTAATATTTTTTAATAACAAATTGCATTTGATAAGTTTCAGAAAGGTAAATAACTGATAGTAAAAAAAAACTAATCAAAATTGCATAATGTAAAATGCATATGTAATAAGTCAATTACTTCATAACAAAATCTAAAAAAGTAATATTTAAAATCTAATAGCATGCATATTAAAAAATAAATTAATTCTCGTACTTTCTTACGTAATGGGCCATTTTCACATGTGAGATATGCTGTTTTATAAATTATATTGTAATAGTTAGTCGCTATAAAAGTTATTCTACATAATCAGTTTGTTAAAAAAGCCAAAAGTTTTTAAATTAAAACCAATTTAAATTTAAAATTTGAAATGTGTACGTCATCGAGAATAGACCAATCAGCTTGTGTCGAAGTTTGTTTTGTTATACAGAACCAAGTCAATGAACAAACCGACACACAGAATGTCGAAGTAAACGCACATCTAAGTGACACTTAAAATTGACACCACCTTTTGTTTGTCAGCTGGATTTATAAAAGTTGATTCGAGTGTTTTACCCATTGTAAACCAAGATATGATTACCGAGATGATTACTGCATTTTTTAACAATACTCAGTTAATAAAAGACACAAAGGTATGTAAGACTTTATTTATAATTTGTTTTAATAGTAGTTACAGTTTATATGGAGCAATACACCTTATAGTAAAAACATGTTTATCTCAGGTCATTAGGGTTGTCGAACAGTAACAGTTTTTCAAAAATAAACATTTTACCTTTACCCTTTACTTCATTTATATTTATAAGAAAAATATATATTTCTTATAATATAAGAGAGTTGATAGTCGTTGCTGACTAGTTAATAATTTAACCAGTAATTTGTGGGTAATGCAGCAAATGAAAGTTTACTTTTTTAAGTTTATTCCAAGCTTTCGGAAATGTTTATTTCCATCATCAGGGAGACTAAAATAAAATAATACCACATATTATGATAAAGTAAGGTAAAATTTTTTTAATTACTTACATCTTAATTAAGGTTGTTCATTATGGTGGTATTATTCATTTTAGTGTAAAGATACAAAATGGACAAGCTGAATCAATTACAAAATAATATACACAAACAATAATTACGATACTTTAAAACTAAAAAAATATAAATAACGAAAGGTCAATTTGACAATTTGACATGACAAGTAAAATTTTTAAATAAATAACAAGTTATTAGAGGTTAGGAAATAAATGTGGATAATGCTATATTTACATAACATTAATATTTTTTAAATGTTCAAAGAGTGATTTTTATATTAAATTAGCTCTGTATTATTTAAATTATGAATTTGGTTTGGTTTATTGTCCAAATCCAATAAATAAGAATAAATTTCACTTAAATTGTTAATATCTGTCTTTTTGTTCATAGAATTTGGTTCCTGTGAAATGAAAGCCATCTCCAAGAAAAGTCTTTTATGGTAGTTATTTTCAATGGCTAATATTTTAATTTCGTCATAATTTATATTATGTTGATATTTATTAGCATGTTCAGCCAAAGCACAACGTTCCGGATGCAGTCTGCAATCACTTCTGTGGGAGGAGATTCTACCTGAGATAGGTCTTTGTGTTTGACCAATATAGACTTTATTACATTCTAGACAAGGAATGTTGTATACTACATCTGATAATGATTTTAAGGGGGTTTTATCTTTGAGTTTAGAATAGATTGAGCCTATTGTTAGAACTGCCTTATTGGCTATCTTAATGTTACTATTAATATTTATAATTCTTGATAGTTTAGGTGTGATCTCCTTGATGTAAGGTAAAGAGGTAAAGTGTATGTTATTTTCTTGTGAAACAACTAAATTCATGTTATTGGGAGCTAAGTTCCTTAAATTATTAAGTAGAGCAGTGTTTTGGGTATGTGGTGTAAGATTATCACTGTTTTGATCATGGTTTTCAATAATTGGGGTGATTTCATTATTTTGTATGAATTCATTAACTGTATATGATGTACTGTATATAATTTTATTAAGGAGTGATTTTGGATATGAATTGTCAATAAAAAGTTTATAAATGATATCTAGATTCTTTTTATGGAAAGACCGGTCTGAGATTTTCAAAACTCTGTTTTTTATTTGTTTTACTAAATTCACTTTCATAGATTGTTTATGGTAAGAATGATAGTTAAGGTATCTACCTTATAATATATATATTAGCGTACACTGATATCCACAAATATAACACTAGAAATTGGGATGATATATCTGTACTTTAAAGCAACAAGGGCCAGTATGTAATTTGAGCAAGAGAGCGACGTTTAAAGCTGTGCTGCTGGTATTATTTCTATAATTAGAAGTAAAAGTATATCTAATTAAGTATTACCTGAGAAATAGCAAATTTGTTATTGTATACAATTGTTATACAATTTGCCTACATCAAAAATTAAAACTAAATAATATTTAAAACTATTTAGAAGGGTAGTGCACATGTATTTACTGTAATACTATTTTTATTTGGTCGTGGATTACCTACTTGTTATGTCTTGTAAATAATTGTAATATAAGTACATTTTTGTGAATGAATGACTACTTTTTGTAATTATACAAACTCTTTCCGTTACAACTAGTATACACATGTCTAGAATTTACATGAATAAATCTACGCTAATATTTTATGAAATAATTTGGAACATAGAAAAGTAATAAAAATTGAAAAAATAGGAATCTATAAAAATGAACTCTTGAAAATACTAAAAAAATCATCACATTATTAAATATTTTATTATTTTTATAACTGCCAAGCAAGTATGTGGAGATAATGCGATTTCCAATTAATAACTTAAGAAAAGGAGATATTTGCCCAGTAAACCGAATAAATACACATGAACATAAAGTATTTTGCATTGTTTCTTAGATTAATAAAAAAAAAAAAAAAATAGTTTATTAAATTATTTGGTATTTAGTCTTACAAAATGAGTTCTTTTAAGGTAAAAATATCACTAATTCACACAGAAATGTAAAATGTTTATGTACGCTACACTTTCCTTCTCATAAATATCGAGGATTTTAAAAACACTGTTGGGCAATCAATCCTAAATATTACCTTCGGTTTATTTTCAATTTTAAAAGTTCATTGGTTTTGAAGATACTGCTCCTCTGAATCAGATATTAAAGATATTTCTTCCAATTCAGACAAAACTTCACTATCTTTAAAACTTTCAGGAGGTTTCGAGGCAGGTTCTTGCAGAAGGGGTTTTAGGATATACACCTTCGAACTTATAGTAGGCTCATTTTAAATTAACCGAAGGGGGCAATGTCAGAAGTTGCTGCTGTATCTTGAAGATCCAGTGTATGTTTATTAAATAGAGATCTACTCCCAAATATTTTAATTCAGATAAAATTGCATTAGATAAATATCTTTCTTTTGTATTCTCAACTGTTGCAAAAGTTAAAAAATCTTCACGCAAGAAAAACCAATTATTTTTTGGCTTGGCATAATTTAGACAAATGGACATCTGTTCTTGTCGTGAAACATCAGTAGTTTCGTCAACAAGGATTGAACAAAATTTAGCAGAATTTAATCATTGCACAATTTTTTTCTGGATTATTTCACCACAAATTGCAATAAGTTCATTTTGTATGGTAGGGCTTAGGTAGGTAGCGTTCAACGTCATATTTTTTGTGTGCTTTATTAGATTTGAGTCTCCATATCTGTTTCTCATCCGTAAGATAGCACGAAAGTTTCCATCACTTGTTTCTGGCTCAGCATCATTAATTTTTATTGGACCTGAGTCGCACGTACCTCTCAGTACCAATTCTTGACGTCCACATAATTTAATTGTTTCAATAATCAGAATGAGCCGTTTCCGATTTTCAGCTATTTGCGCCAGGTATCCGCTATCAATCTGACTTATTATATTTGGTTGAGATTCATTATACATCTTCATAAAATTATCAGCCAATAATACAGAAGATTTGTGGTACTAGCTTTCACTGTGATGTTTCAAATCATGTACAGCATCTTTACATTTAGTAAGCGGCTGAGTAACTAAGGATTTCAACTGCTGATGAGAGCCTTTACCTGCGCAATCTCTGGCAAATAATACACAATATTTGCATAAAGCACCTTGTCACCGTACATAAACAAAGAATAGTAAATCCACTCTCTGTACAGACCGGGTCCAACGCCGCCAGTCGAAAGAGCATGCAATCAGCCTGCGCTCGCTGCTTCTTAATACACCTGTATGCCCGGGAATGTGTGTGAAGAGACAAAAACGGCGGCAAGCTTGTGTGCAAAAAACTTCAAAGGCGACTGGGAGAGTGGATTTACTATTCTTTGTTTATGTACGGTGACCTTGTTGCCCTGTACTCGTGTAAACCAACCACGAGAACCGTCCAAACCACTGCATTTGAAATTTTAGTTTTCTTTTTTCGTCACTGACTGGAAACTTGAATGTCTTTTCTGGCTCATAAATATCTTTTTTTTATTTCGGGGGGGGGGGGAGGGGGGGGAGGGGGGGGGGGGAGGGGGGGAATCAATCCCCCTTGATCCCCCTGGCTACAGCCTTGGTACTATACTTTTATATTTGGATTTGCTTGGATCTACGTCTTATATTAGTAGGTCCAATTGATTTTTGGAGTTAGTTTTGAAACAAAAAACCACCTTTAGATGGTCCAAATATTCGACCGTTTTAAGTCGAT